CTGTGGTTCGCCAACAGCTCTTAGCAGTAATAAACTATCCTTAACAGTGGTTCGCCCACAGCATGTGTAAATAGATTAACAATACGTTTGTGTTTTATATAACTATATTTCAGGTGTTGCAGTTTTAGTAGTGAATACTACGTGTCATGAATAACGGAATTTTAGGTTGTTGTGGTGTAGACGTTATTAATACGTGTGTGTCTTAAATAACGGTATTTAAGGTGTTGTAGTGTAGATGTTACTAATTCGTGTGTCTTATATAACTGTGTGGTCGGTGGTGTAGGTCTAGTGCCTACTAATACTTGCGTGTTTTTATTTAACTGTATTGTAGGTGTTGGTGTGATATAATCATATTTTGCAACTTAGTTTCTTCCCTTTCCCCAAGATCGACGTATCCGTCCTAACTGTGGTTCGCCCACAGCGATCCGTCCTAACTGTGGTTCGCCCACAGCAATCCGTCCCGAACTGTGGTTCGCCCACAGCACTCCGTCCCGAACTGTGGTTCGCCCGCAGCGCACCTTTCTTTCCATATAGAGAACAAATATGGCAATGATGATAACGTGGGTTCGATTGTTGGAGATTTTATATCTTATACCCTGTGTCTGAGCCATCCGTTCTCTTTTCAGAATATTTGTTCGCCCTTAACTGTCGATTCATTAGACATTTCGACCCCTGGAACCGCAACCCATAGCGCGACTAGCTATCCGGCAACCGGATCAAAACCGGGCTCGTGTATTTTCCGAACGCCTCCCCTGGGAAAATACGTCGTAATTAAATTATTTTTATTTAGAAATTTGTCTTTGGTTTAAGACATATATCCCCAATTTTAAATAACTACCAATAAGTAATCTTTACAGGGTGTCTACTACATTATGGATAAAAAATTCATGGACAATTCCCGTACATTTAAGGACACTTTGCCGTAACCTTTGTCGGTGTCATTAGGCCTACCGAATAATTTTCCTGATTTGTCAAACTGTATTAATTTTGTTATTAACTGTAGTTGTACCAGAGAGAAAAGTAAATAATAATAGATAAGAGTTAAAAATTTCAAAATAGAAATTTATTGAAAGTAAACAAGCATAGGCTTACCTATACTTTAGGTAAAGCTTTTATAGTGTAACAGAGAAACGCAATCATTGTCTCCTGCGATAGCGACAAATATCTCCATCGGTCACGTAAACTTCATAACATAGCTTATCCGATCCAGGCGGATTATTTTGGCATGATTCGCCCTGGCACAACGTTGGGCTCTCGACTACTTTTGAAAAAAAAAATCTCTAATACACATTGTTACTCAGTTCTTAGTACAAAATCAAGGTATGGTAAGCGGCTACCAATAAGCAATAAGCACAGAGTAAGATTATTGTATTTTCATTTGCAAAGTTAATATCGACACATAGCAATCATTAGTTGTTTATCTAGGCTCAATTACATTTTCTTAATATATTTTACAGCTCTTCCAAGAATCAAAATACCCAGGCCTAGACCTAATTATTTAGGAGGGATTATATAAACTGAGTAACAAACAATGAGGTTATAATAGCAGCAAAGTCACTATCTTCATTCTAGTTCATAAGATTTAGATTGCTTAAAGCATACAACTCAATAAATAAATATATGGGAAACAAAATACATTGAAACCTGAACAGCCAACAATATAAGACAAAGATACAGAAAATGCAATGACATAATTTGAAAGCAAGCAGGCCTACATCGTGATAAAACATTAATGCAAACAACAATGCTTGTGGTTTTGTCAATTGAAAGATAAAATATCCATAAAAAAGGGGTTAACTTAACTTAACCAAATAAGACTGTAGATTATTTACATGTTTAATATGAAACAATAAACAGTTTTATGGCACTAGGCAATGGCCGTGGCGAATTGAATCTTCAAGCCGAAAGTACAAGTAAGAAGTGAAATTTAACAGCCATTATAAAGCTATTATTTTCACGATAAAATAGGTTTGGGATCTCATAATAATTCCTCATAATATAAACTCATAATAAGCCCTAGTAATAAAAAAAGAAGTTGTAAAGGAATAAAAGTGATACAACTTTTATGAGCTAGCTAGAACTGAGTCAACAGTTCTTGGAAGTACTTGACTTGACACTTGATTGTCGTGATAAAATATTAATGGGTTTGAGATTGCTAATGGGATTTTTATTGCATAATTACTCTAGTAATAAATTATGAAAATGTAAACAAACATCTGATAAACCTTTTATGTGCTCCTAACCAACTAGCGATCAATAAAATTATGGCCCATTAAAAATTTAAGGACATAGTCTGGCATTTAAGGACAATTCCCGTACATTTCATGGCCAGTAAAAAAAATTAAGTACAATTCCCGGTTTTCCCGGATTTCTCGGTTGGTAGACACCCTGTCTTTAGCAAAAATAAAAGTCAATAATTTGGCGAATTATTTAAGAATATAAGAGTTTTGGGAGCTATTTAGAATTGGGGATATACGTCTTTAACTAAAGACAAATTTCAAAATAAATACATTTTAATGTTAAATTAAGGTCCATGACTCATTAAAAAATTTTCAGATTTTGGTTAATGATTAATAAAATCAAAGCCATACATTTACTGAATAATTTGAGACCAGAAAGAAGTTGGTGACGCATTAACAACCCGAGTTATAAATCTTTTAATACATATATATTTCTAAAAAGTTTAATTTAATATTGTTCTGAGGTTCGTAGCTGGTCTTTAACTCGTCTGATTTTAATGCTCAAGAGCTCAAATGAAAGTCCTTACAATAATGAATATTTTAAGCCTAGAACGAACTGCAAGCGTTAATAAGAACTGGAGATATAAGAAAAAAATTTTTTTAAATATCAAACAACGAAACGTCCATAAGAAATGTATGGGGGAGAGTTTTCGTTTGAGTATAAAATCTTCTAAATGAAAAAAGATATTGAAAAACAGATTTCCGCATTGAAATCAGTGTAAAAATGTAGTCTGTAATGATGTGTCACAACACTATCATTACATTGAAAAAAAATTATCTATGTCCAATATGGCGGATCCAAGATGGCGGACAAAAACGTGTTCCCTATCAAAATGAAGTACTAACCACCTAATTAATACAGGAGGTGGTCCCATGTCAATATCTCGAAAAATGTGCATAACAAATGCATGTGAAATATATTTTTTTAATTTGTCCAATGTTGGGAATAGCAGTCATTTTAAATTGTGATTTTAGTGGTTTTCTTGTGCAACAATTTTTGGCAACTTTTAGTATGTCATTCTGAAAACCCAACACTACAAAATAAAACCATAAAACGTTTTCTTGCAATTTTTTTAAGGTCATATCCTATATTTTTCCGACTATGTTAAAAGAAACAAAAAATGTAATATTGTCCTATGTGATTTTTACAAAAACATTCATAACACATTAACTGTTTGAGCTACAGCGATGAAATTCTGAAATTATGGTTATCTTATTGACCTTGATCTTAATACATGCGCAAAGTATGAATAAAAACTCTTGAACTATATTTTAAACCAAGGAGAACGTTATTTATAATTGAGATTTAAAAAAATGGTTTGTGTCAACAGTCAATTCTGATGGAAAGGTTTTTCGTAATTGGCTTCCACAACTGGGAAATGGAACCCTAAAATCATAAAATATTACTCAATGTTGCTAATAAAACTGTTAATTTTGTATAGTACTCATTTACTTCCCTAAAATTTCATCACGCCCAGATGGTCATTTTAGTAACGTATAAAGGACTGGACAAACATTGGATTTCACATATATATATATGGACCGACATCATCCTATTGTTTTGGGACTCGTCGACCGCCAGCAGCGGCCCAGCAGGTAGCCCATGTGGCTGTTGCCAACCTTCCAACAAAAATTCCCCCTTAATCCCTGCTGTTAAGAGACGGCCAGCGTTGGTCTCAGCTAAGCTTGATCTCAGCTAACCCTCTATGTCGTGAACCCATTTTTTGGCCGTTGGTTAAAATTGGCCGAGATCAACGATAACCGTGAGCAACAAAACCCCGTACTCGTAAACCGCCTCTAAAACTGGTAGGGAAATATTAAAATACAACTAAAATGTTGTTTAACAACTCATCAAACGACAAAATAGATAAAACAAAATACAGTACATGTAGCGCCTACATGTTTCATCACAAAAACAGCGAAGGTAACGCTTCAAACTCAACTTTCAGATCTTAAGAACGCGAACGAATAAATCTGCCCTGAGAGTCAGAATGCTGAATTTCTTCTTCACCGCTGAGGATCGAGCAGTCCACATCCAACACACCTCTGATTGGCCAGATGTTACGAAAAGAACCGGACTCGATGTAAAAGGAAAGTTGAAGAAGAACAACAGAAGCGACGAAGAAGTCAAACCGAAGTAAACTGAACCTTAGCGTAAGATAGAAAGAAGTAAAACCGACAAAAAAAACACAGTTTTACTTCCACTCTATCTGGGAATCGTCTGTAGATGCATCTGTCACCTCGGTTATGCAAGATTAAGTTATGCTGCCAGTTAGCGTCGCGACTAGGGCTCCATAGCCAACGTCCAGCTGTTTAACTTTAACAGACAGTTCTGGGGTAATCGACTGTTTTTATTTACTAATAAAGTGAATCCTTTCCTCTCTCCAACACCAGGCAAAGTGAGGTATTCTTTAGTAGATTAACCTGGTTACAATACCTTCTGAAATTAACCCCCTAACCATTTAGGCCCGTTACAAGATGTCACACCTTGGTGAAAACAACTAACTCTACAAGAACCAAGGCTACTAAACATGGTACGGTAACTTCAATAATTCAATCTTAAATGTTCCTATACAAATAGAAACAAAGCATGACTTATCATACTGTAATGTTCATGTGGTACCTGTGTTTCTACTGGTTAATGTACTGATTAGGAGCTGTCCAAACATACCCTCTCACAGACTTTTAAAACCTCTGATGGCTTAATAACTCTCATTTTCCATTAAGTTAGGGAAAGTGTTTGAGTAGTGAGTACCTTACCTAAGAATTGTGGCTGACACACCAGCTGCATGAGCATAGAAGCCACCAGTACCTTTCAATCTCTCCACAGAATGCACTTTAGTTCCCATCGGCAGAGCTCCAAGAGGATATGCGTCTCCTTCATTAGGGTTTACTGCAACATAACAATTGTATTGCAGTAGGATGCCAATATTTTTAACAGCCTAAATCAGATTACTAATTTATGAAATAAGATTAATACCCCCGCCGCAGCAAACCTGCAGTCTTAGCTAATTTCCATTTGCCTGATTGGATTTACACAAAAAAAATGTCTCCTTAAAAATATCACATTTATTCCCTATTTAAATATCATTAGTTTAACCAAAGATTACATATGCTACGCAAAATAGATATTGCAGCCAAGCCATTTTTGTGATATCAATTTCCATGCAAAGCCTAGCGAATGTCTTCACAACCTAAGACTTCATTGCCGACATGACCAGCTGTTATTTACGTATTTTTTGTTGTTGTTTATTGTTTATTGTTATAGTTAACCTTTATTTTGTGGTTGTTTGCTTAATGTAAGTAACAGGAGGTTCATTAGAAGATGGATTAGCAAGATGAAGAAGTGTTAGTATTATGTGTAGTGAATTACAATCGTATTATGATGTGGATATTTTCATGAAAAATACTAGGTATTAAGACGAGTGTATGTGATAAATGGCAAACACGGCAATAAAAAAACGGCCAAAAAATGGCCTTCCCGACACTGTCTCGCGGCAGCCCCTTCATCACATAGCGATAAATTCACCAGTATTTATACTGTCAATGTCTCATTATCTTTAGAGTCTGCCTAAAACAGTTATGATAGAGTTCCGAAATATATTATTAACTACCTTCATCATACTATTATGCAATAATTTTTAATTTATTGTCAATTGAAAATAGACGTACGTTGAAGGTTGTGGTTTAAGTGTTTATCAACGAAGACCACTAAGAGGGAAATAAAGTATCCTAGGCTATATATTTATGGGGCTCAATAAATATACCTAATTTGAGGGGTGGTTACTGGTTAGGCAATTTCTGCTCCAGGACGCTCCAATCAAAACCTGGCTACGCCAATACAATGCCTTAATGTCGATTCAGGAACTTACCACTTACAATGAATAGGTAGCTATACTGGGAAGGCGAACGAAATTCCTGTTGTAAAATGTAGATACAGGCTTCCGGTACAAAGTATTCGCCCTATTGTTTAATATAATGTTTAAAACAGGACATACCAGTAAATTGGGATGTCGGGTCACTCGGGTTAGTTCACTTTCGTGTGATTGCGAAAGTGTGACTGACCTCCATTTTCCAACCTAAATATAGTTTTTACGTTGTAAATATCTCTTTAATTTATGTACAACTTAGGTTCCGGTGTTGTTAAAACTATGTGTTTTGCAAACGGCACTGACAAAACACCAATAATGTGACGAGATAATACGTAGTTTGAAAAAAAATGCCGATCTGTGTAGATAAATGTTCTTCCTACAAACTATGTGTTTTTAATGCTATGTTTAAAAAGGTCAAGTAGCCAGTGAATGGTTAGGTAGTAGTTGACTAACCATACATTCCTCATCGTTAGTAGTAAGATATTGCGTGAGTCTAGAAATCCGGAAGCAAACTTTGTGTATAAAAATTCCGAAAACAGAAAAGTGAGAAAAGTCGACGAACTCACAAATAGTCACTAGTTATTAAAACTTGTAAGATTTATAAATTTCTAAATTGTTAATGGTTCTCTAAATGTACGTTATAATTAAATGCAGAGAAATTAGTATAACATTGTAAGCTTATTTTATCACTGTGACTGCAATTTTTGAAGATTTTTATTAATTCATGTTTCTATCAGTAAACTTTTAGTAGTATCCTTTAGCTCTTTGTTACGTGGTCACTTTAATTTGGAATTAAATAACTGCCATTTTTGTAAAAAGATAAAGTTATGGTACATTAATGACAGCTGTGCGCTTTCAAACTAGAGATTCGATGACGACGGGTCGGCGAGCGCTTTGCGTACAGGCAAGTTAATCCCGAGCTCGCGAACATTACCGAACTCCCCCGAACTTGAATGGTAATGCAGATCGAGACTTGACACAGCGCCTCTGATGAGGGACCACCCAACTACGTGAAGGTGGCCCCATCCAAAAACGACTTGGCACAAAATTGCCGTAAGGTGCAATATCTATTTTGCGTAGCATAAGTAATCTTTGGTTTAACGAATACTTAGGTTTGCTGCAACAAGGAGGTAAAATACCACCGCCGCAGCAAACCTGCAGTCTAAGCGAATTTCCATTCGCCTGATTGGATTTACACTAAAATGCCTCCTTAAATACATCACATTTATTCTATATACAGTATAATCTATTCTATATATAATTCTGTTTTAAAAAACTTTGTACAACTGAATCTAGAGTTCTACTGGACCGATTTTATTTATTAATGGGTCGTTGGAAAGCTTAAGTCGTGTAGATTTGCAAATAATTATGAAAGTTGGTTTTTGTTATGATTTATGGTGAAAAATTCTAAAAAACATGTTTTCCATAAGAAATACATTGAAAACGGTGTTTTTCACAATTTTTATTTGGGTGCGACTTTTGGCTGCCTTTTTTGAGTATTTCTAAGGAGTGCATGGTATCAATTTGTAGGAAATTTTATTTTTTTTCAGAATATCACCTTCCACTTTGGTCGATTTCCTCACCATTTAAAAGTTATTTGCAAAAAAGCTAAGCAGCCTCCGAATTTATAGTAATGAGAAAATATTGAGTTTGGAATATTTTTGTTAAACTTTGTACAACTAAATCTAGACTTCTACTGGACCGATTTTGTTAACTAATGGGTCATTGGAAAGCCTAACTCATGTAGATTTGCAAATAATTATAAAATTGTGATTTTATTAAATATTTGTGGTAAAAAAGTAAAAATAACAAAAATACATTAAAAACTGCTTATTCAAGTTTCTGTTTTTAACATTCTATTTTAGCCAGCTTTTGGCTGCCTTTATTAAGTATTTTCAAGAAATGCATAGTAGTTATTTGTAGTAAATTTTATTCTCTATCAGAATATCACATCCACTTTGGTCGATTTCCCCTCCATTTAAAAGATATAGGCAATAATCTAAGTGATCTCCAAATTTATAGTGGTGAGAAAATACTGAATTAGATATATTTTTTTTAAACTTTGTACAACTAAATCAAGACTTCTACCAGACCGATTTTGTTACTTAATGGGTCGTTGGAAAGCCTAGATTTGCAAATAATTATGAAAGTTTGATTTTATCAGATATTTGAGGTGAAAAAAATTAAAATAAACAATAATACATTTAAAACTTATTTTTTTCCAAGTTCAAATTTCCAAGTTTATATTTGTAGCCAACTTTAGGCTGTCTTTAATGAGTATTTTCAAGAAATGCATAACAGTAATTTGGAAAAAATTTTATTCTCTTTCAGAATATCACCTTCCACTTTGGTCGATTTCCTCACCGTTTTAAAGTTATTTGCAAAAACGTTAAGCAACCTCCCAATTTATAGTTGTGAGAAAATACTGAATTAAAGATGTTGTTAAACTTTGTACGATTCAATCTACAGTTCTACTGAACCGATTTTATTAATTAATAGGTCATTAGAAAGCCTAATTTGTGTAGATTTTGCAAATAGTTATAAAAGTTTGATTTTTTTTTTTTTATTTACTAGGTGAAACCCGTCAAAGTCTGACAGTTGCTGTTGAGGTTGCAAGTAAGATCGTTTGACTATAAATCGATGATAAATAACAAAATTGTTTGAACAATTTGTGTTGTTTGTGATTTAACTGTGTGCTTTAGGTACGTCCGATCTTAATAATCAATAAATCAAATGGAAACTGGTATTTCACTGAAGGTTCTTAGGTCAAAACAAATAGAATAACGTAATAAGAATTAAGTAAATATATCTACAACTTAATTCCACATTCAAGCTATAATCAAATTTGTATTTTCTGATTGAGCTATACAGTACTTTGAACTTAACTGATTAAAACTATCAATATCTCAAGTGAAAACCTTTGAAGTATTAAGACCAAGACATATAAAATAACTTAAATAAAAATAGAGTTACGTATCATTAAAAAACAAGAAGAGAAAACAACACAGCTCACATAAACCAGGCTGAAAACAAGTCTAAAGCACTGTGGCAAACAATAAACCGAGAAAGGGAAGCGAGATCAAATACTGAAAACCAAATCCATCTTCAAGTCAACAATAAAACAATAGACGACCCAATAGAAGTTTCAAACTGTTTTAATGATTTTTTCTCATCAATAGCCGACCGAACACTCCAAAATAACAATAACTCTAGAACCAATGCCTTAACAGACCACTTACCAGCAACACATCACACACTCCAGTTCAGACGGGTCACACAAGAAGAAGTGCAAAAGGCCATTCAATCTCTAAAAATGAAAAATTCATCCGGAACTGATGAGGTATCAGCTAAACTTCTAAAAAACTGTAAAAATGAAATAGTAATACCCCTGACAGACCTCATAAATAAATCAGTCTCACAAGGAAAATTCCCAGATAAATTAAAAATAGCTAAAGTCTACCCAAAATACAAAAATGGACCAACGATAGAAAGAAACAGCTACAGGCCAATCTCCCTAATATCAACGTTTTCAAAAATAATCGAAAAGATAGTACTAGCCCAACTCCTACACCATCTTCAAGAACACAACCTTCTCAATGGTCAACAGCATGGATTTATTAAAGGCAGATCGACAGCCACAGCCTTAATACAACTGACGGAGCACATACTAGACCAATTAGAAGAAGGCAGCACTTCAACAAGCCTCTTCCTAGATTTTAATAAAGCTTTCGACTGCCTAAACCACGAACTTCTTCTACTCAAGCTGGAAACACTAGGTGTGAGAGGAAGAGCAGCAGAATGGTTTAAAAGCTACATTAGTAACCGGAAACAGCTTGTGGAAATAGCCTACATAAAGAACAACACAAAGTATAAGGCCCAATCCAAAGCTGTAGACGTGCAAAGAGGAGTACCCCAAGGATCAGTACTTGGCCCAGTCCTTTCCTCCTTCTCACGAATGACCTACCTAGTTGGATTGGGGATGATGGACACACCACCATGTACGCAGATGACACGGTTCTCA